CTTCAAAGCGGAGCCTACAGTTTTGATGACGAAGTGAGGTTTGGGTTACCTGTGAACTCAGATTGAGGGAGCTGCGGGTCGTGAAAGTGCTGGATGAAGAAGCTGCTTCCTCGGTCAATGCGTACGCAAAGCAGCTACGAGATCTGAAGCGAATCGTCGATCAGAGGGAAAAATTTGTCCGCACAGCCCGCCCTCATCATGATAGTGCAGCGCACTCCGTCCAAAAAAGTTCGAGCCGTACCTCATGCAATAGAGCTGGATGGCTCTCCCCTTGCACTGGTGTAGCACAGACATTGCTCCTTCTAACTGCAAGTTGCCTCCCGTACTCAATCGTTATGTGGACGAGAAAACCTCCATAACCCGAGTTCAAGTCAAGATTGAGATGATGTCCAACTTTGCGTCGCGCCTCCCTGCATTGTGAAGCGATGGCATCCATGAGGTGCTCAAAAACTGGCAAGGAACCCCGCAGTAACATTGCTGTACAATTTTGATCTTACACGCCTCTCTATAAAAAGAAAGCCTAATTTGAAAAATGTGACAGAACTTTCCCGCCAGCCTAATACGTAGAAAGACAACTGTGGCACTAGCTCGCAAATATGATCGGCTATCAATACGAGTTATAAAAGCGGCTGTACGGAAGCCCATAATAGTCATTAATGAGAAGCAAAACTAACCACAAGATCAGATGATGTTCCAGTAGAGCGAGCTTCGCTTTGCTGCAGCTCGTTGAGGAAGAGCTCTTGCTCTAGTTTCGACTTGTCCGAGTCCTTAAAAAACAGAAATGATCACGAACTTTATTCAGTGTCAAACTCCTTCCACTCTCCTTCACATTTCCCTTTGTTTTAGGTTAGTGATCATGACAGCCAACATCGGCCACCAGTTCCCGACACTTTTATACGCGAATTGAATTTTAAAAAACCTGGGCGCAATAGTGAAAAACTGATGTTTACTGGCTGCGCAAAAACTTTGAGATTGCCTCTCCAAGAAAGCTTCACAAAAATTGAAAACGGTCTAAATCAATGAATGAACCCACCGGTGCGCAGTAGGGAAGCGCCCATGGAGCGATGAGTGGTGCCATTTTCACGGCAACTAGAGGATACCTGCTACCCTTGCAGTAAAGATACCTACAAATGGCCGTGTTTGAACACATCGTTGGAGGGGAAGCTACGAAAACTTTCTCACCTAATTTGACGCTGTCGTCCATCAACAATCGCGATTGGCCAAACAGCATCGGATTTGCTCGTAGTTTCCGCGCTTCCATCGAATATTGGAACCCAGAAACCAGACGGCGTCAGGAGGTTTACCATATCTTAAATGCGCAGTTTATCTTGACCCCTGCAATCTCACACCGAGGAGTACAGGAGAAACTGACGCACGCCCGCATAGGTTTACTGATGAGTCACATTGCGATTAATGCCAGAAAGCTAGAAGAAGAAGCAATTAACTGGCCACAGACATTTTCAGTGAACACATCGCTATGCTTGGAATTTTGCACTTTTGCTACTTCTCATCGCTCCAGAGGCACAAGTGTTCACAGGTTCAAACTTCAACCGGGACTTGTTATCCGGAACTAGTGAAGCAGCGAAAGTTCAGAATACCCCCAGTAGCCGATCTGCGTCGAAATCTAACTTTGAGCTGAGGCTAAAAAAAGCTATCCTTGTCAAAAAGATAATAGTTCCTGGCATCCAATCACCGGCAACGGGGAAACTCCCTGAAAGAATGAGGCAGACTTGGCAACAGACACTGTTCGGCGCTGTGCCCAGCTTTACAAGACTTTACAGGTCTCCACCTCAAGTGAGGGCAAGGACCAGTGGGGATCAGCAAAACCCAAACCGAGAAACATAGAGAACGTGGAAAATATATGGGTAAGTTGATAGATCTAAGCCTGAAAGGAAACTGACAGCTTAAACTGAAGTACCTAACGTACCACGAATGAAAAAAGAGCAGCAGATCAAACTAACATGAACTGTCCATAGACGCAAGCTGTCCATGACTAGTGTATCCGAGCCAGCATAGGTGTTCCTTCTTGGCGACAGGCAAATCCACATGAGTCACCCCTGTGCCAATGTTACGGTGCCATTGCTTATTGTCCACATTATACACAGTAACAGTGTGCTGAAACTGCAACTTTAACTACAAACCGAATCAACTGGCTTTTTAAGCGCACTTGGTAATTTGGGCGTTGACTTTTCTTTTCCTTCTCGTAATAAT